TGTTGCACAGTTTGTTCTTTTTCAGGTATTGAGGAGTTTCTCTCCCACTGATATCCTGGAGGTAATAAATTTTCCCTCTTCCTAAGGCGTTTTAACATTTATTAAGAATGTGTTCATGGTCTTACAAACGTTTGCTTCTCATGAGATGATTTGTGCTTTTATCTCTGCAGATCAAGGGCATCAGTGAGCTCCTTGAGGGCCTTATTCCGTATTCGCAGAGGCATTTCAGCAGAGTCGATAGACTAGTCCGAAGCACGTTTCTGTTGGACTATACACTGATGCGAATGTCCGTGGTAGATCCAGATGTAGATGCGGTTACAATCAAAGATGAAATGAATGGTTCATCTGTGGAGAACGGTGAACTTGCAGAGCCTCGGCCTGCTTCACCTGTACCAGAGAAGTCAAGCAAGAAGAGAAAATCCAGGAAATCAAGTAAAAAGGGCAAGGAGAAGAAGGTGAAGGTTGCCTCGAGTGGACACAGCAATGATGTCTCTGCTGAAGCCTGAATATCTAGCTGAGAATCTGGTTTTGGTTATGCGTGCTGCCAATTTTGTAGCTGCTGTTGCAACTGACGCCGCCCAATGACAGAGAATCGCATCTGATGTAAATGCTTTTTTTTTGCTGCGTTTATTAGAAGACCACAGTGCCTTTAAGGCATCTCCTCTCTGTTCCAAATTTCCTTCTCAACTTATTGGAGTGTATGGTTTGCTATCAAAATTTGCCATGCCAAAGGTTTTGGTAAGCAAAAGTTGCTAAAAGTTGGACAAAAATATTTTACATAGATTTGGCAAGCCAAATGTGAGATGTTGCAAGTTTAGGTAGCAAACCAAATGCCTGCCAAAAACTTGGTTAATGCATACCGCCTAACAAAGAGGCTCGCTTTGGTTACCAAGATTCTAGAAAATACACAACATCTCTACCACATAAATTAGTTTCTTTAAATTCTCTGTGAAATATATTTTGAGAACATATATTTATTTGGAGAAATAAGGACAACAAATAAATTCGAAATAAATGGCAGTACGCACAAGAACACGTCTCCCTTTTATCTTAACAAATTATTAGATAATATAGGTTCTCCAATTATTTGTTGTCTTTAGTACTATATTGCCTCATTACAAGATAGTAAGGATGCCATCAAACCCCTTTCCCTGGAGGTGTTGTTTCGCCATCTTCCGGCCCCAACCGATTGCAAATTGTGCTTCCTCATCACGGGTGAGAGCATAATTTTTTTTTCGCCATTGGATCAATGACCATGCGCTGGAGTGCAGTGGCATTGCGAGCAATATAAAGTACAAGATCAAACAGACTCTTGTAGCTGTACACTCCAGTCATCCGAAGCACCTTCAGATGATTGTGTGGCCTCGGGGGCTCTGGGGCAGTATGTCCTCAAGTCCCACAGGATAAATTGCCCCGTGCCATGCCACTCCAGCTGCAAACAAATATTTCCAAAAAGTTTTGATATGGACTAGTAACTATTCATAGATGGCAATTAGCAGAATTATTTCCCATCTAAGAGTAAGCCGCATCATAAAAAGTTAGAAGTCTATTTCAGCCATACAACTCTGAACCTTTTTTTTTCCATCTAACTATCAATACTGCATAAATTTGACCATCTAGTCTGGTTTATTTAAAAGGTGGTTTTGTATTATCTGAAAACAATAAAAAGCGCAACCGATAGATTATATTTTTAGAAATATTTTGGTATTAGTTTCATATGGACTAGTAATTATATGTAGATTGCAATTAGCGTAATTATTTCTCATCTAACCACATCATAAAAAAGTTAGGGAAAGTCTATTTCAGCCATACAACTCTAAACCCATTTTTTTTTACCATCTACCTATCAATACCGCATAAATTTAGCAATCTAGCTAGTTTATTTAAAAGGTGGTTTTGTATTTTCTCGAAAAAACAACAAAAACTCGGCAACTGATAGATTATATTTTTAGAAATATTTTGGTATTAGTTTCATATATTTTGATTTAAAATGAATTAGTTATGATTTTTTTTAAAACAAAAAAAACGCCTTTGAAACCACCTAGATGGCTAAATTTATGTTCAGCAAGCTGTCCATGGAGGACATTTTTCACAATAGCAGTATAGAAGTGCAAGCTAAACTTTCACAAATTTGAAGTATTCAGTTGCATAAAATGGAAAAAAAAGGTTACGCAACAGCTAAGCCGCCATAACACATGAATGATACACAAACATTATGATGGTATATATAACAAAAACTTCAATGGAACCATGAATAGAATATTGCTGAAGAGATAACTTACATGCAGTTCCAGTTCTTCCAAAACTGGAGCCAACTCCAAAAGGTAAGCAAGACGAATAATACCACCAGTGTGCTCATCATGATGTCTAAACATCTCCATGGTTAAGACAAGATGCTTGAGGTTGAAGAACACGGTAGGGCATTTTGTAAATTCTTGCATCTGACACATGAGGGCAGTCATTTAGAGAATCTATAATTAAAGCACATGAAAACGTATTAAATCTCCATTAGCATTGAGGAAACCTTGGTGTTTCCGCACATGATAAGTTCCATGTTGAGTTTCCGCGCATGAGGAATACCACTTGGAAGCTCTGTGAAGGCATAGTTAAAACAATCAGACGATGCTAGCAGCGCAACAGTTGCCTCTGCTAGGGACAAGCATCCATTGAGCACAATTGCCATCGGACTGTCGTGAAACTTGAATACATCAAAGTTTGGAGCTTGGATCTCAACCTTTCGCATCCCTTCGCAATGTTGCACGCGCAAGTAGCGCAACCGATACAATGGCTGCGACGTTTGCAGGCCGTGCAGGGTACAACGCACGATGCTTAGCCACTCAAGAACGGCACACTCTGGCAACAGGCACTGGAGATGTCCAGGGACCGACACTCCGTCGAGCTTGAGCTTCTTGAGATTTGTGAAACATGAGGCACAATGATCTAACAGAAGAACCACTGGAACCGCTGAAATTATGCAGCGGAAAGATATACCTGCTGTCATGGTCATCGCCCCAGGACCCCCGAGAGAAATCAAAGATAAGGTACCTCGCTTTCGACTTTGCAGCGAAGCTAACCCATCTATCAACATGGCGGGTCTGTCGTTTGCGGAGCTTGAATCTAACTACAAACTAGCACAACTAGTTTTGTTGCGCCGCTCTCTCTCTCTCTTTTTTTTTTGAAAAGAGAGAGTCATATTGATTTGTCAAGGAACAAGTTATAATCTTTCGCGGTCCATGACTTCACACATTGGGAAACCTGCGCACGCCACACTACAGAATGTGACGTACGTTTCGCCAACTACGTGAGTTCATGAGCATGACAAGTAAGGAGCACTTAGCCAAATCTCGATTTAAATTTAATTTTCTATGCGTGGAGAATCCGTGAGACCCACACCCCCGACCCCGACTCGCACCCTGAGGGTCCCGACCACACCGCCGCCGGCGTCCCTGCCCCCCCTCCCTCCCCATCCACCTCCTCCTTTCCCTCCTCATCCACCTCCCCTCTCCTCCCAACCCCAAGCACCGCCCCGAGAGCTCCACTAAGCCTGCCCCAGTGGAACCCTAGCTCAACCCCACTGTCGTCGGTGGCACCAGCCATCTCCTTCCCCACCACCTCCCCTCCACTCCCCGCCCCCGACGCTGACTCGTGCCTCCACCAGAGCCAGGAGCTCGACCCGGCCACGCCGCCACCGACGTTGGGAGCAGTCACCGCGGGCGCTGCCGAGCCCACCAACGCCAGATCCAGTGCCGGAGCGCATCCGCGGACTCCCTCTCCATCCTCGGCGCTGCCGACGACGGGCCCGCCGTCGCGGCGACCAACAGCAGCTGCAACTCCCCGTTCACGCAGGTGACGACGCCGAGCTGCACCCCTAGGGCCACCACCTCCAGCAACAGTAGCGTCGAGACTATCGCCGCGGGCGTCGGCACTGGAGTGCCTCCGTAGACTACCTCCCAGTCCCCGCCTCCGTCAACGCCGGGCCCTACTCCCGCAGCCGCTGCCTCCGGCAGCTCACTCTCATCGGTCGCGGCTCCCTTCTACCCTTCAAGAGGGCGCACGAAGCACCATCGATGGGCGGATGACGACGGCGAGGAGTCCGACGATGACCACCCCGCGACCTACCTGAATGTTGTTCGTCGATCGGTGAAGCCGGCAACTGCGTCCCCGCCACGCGCCTAGATTCGTTCAATTGTGGTCTCGAGCCATGGCGGAGCGGACGCTGGACGACAGGGACACGGGCGAAGCCGGAGGAAGCGTAGGCAGCCGCACCCACAGCTGGTGTGCGGCATATCCAATCGACCAATGGATGGCCGCATCCCTGCCAGCCAACACATTGGACATCGCGGACGAGTCTCCGCTCCCATCGCCGATGGGTGCCGTGAGATTCTCCCCCGGCTAGAAGCGCGACCTGCAGCCGCCTCGGTTGAGCCTCGCCCAGAGCATCCTCGCAGAAGGGTGGCGGCCGGTCACGGCACACTGCTCGTGACCACGTACCACTGGCCTCCTAGCATGCTCAGTTGGGGCCAAGCAAGATGCCGCGGGGGGCGACAGTGGAATCAGACGACGACGCTGGCGGCGACGAAATAAGTTGGCAAAGGATGACAGCATGGACGTGTCTGCTGACTATTTCGACAACGCTGCTACCTCTACTGCTACACACCTTCACGTGCCAGATCCACTTGTGTCGGAGCTGTGCGCGAGCCCTGGGCCTCCCACGTGGGTTGACCCAATGCTAGAGGAGCTCGCCGCCTCGCTCGCCTTGGGTCGACCAGCAGGGGTGACTACCACTCAGGAAGAGGAAGCATCGCTGGTGGACAAGTTGGTGATGGGCTCGCCTACGTTGTCACCTGTGCAGGGGCAGGTCACGTCGCTGCAAGCGGAGCAGTCTAGCATCGTGGATGCTGAGGCATGTCTACAAAGCTTACCACCTCGAGAGGGACAACACGACGTCGTGGATGCTGAGGGGCGCGCACAAAGCCCCAGCACCACCCCCACAGGCGCGGATGCAGCCACCCCCTCGACGATCAGCTGACTCCGCCGTCAAGAGGATAAAGCGATTCATCGAGAAGATCCTGTGTAAGGCGCCATCGCTGTTGCTGCCACTGCCTCAGCCGACTGTGGAGGCACAACCAAAGTTGCCGACCCGCAGCAGGAGGATCGCCGCACAACCGCTCTCACGTGTCCTAGCTTCTAAACGGGGAGAGGTGCTGATGATGAAGCGGATGGGATTCCTCGACGGTCAGACGAGGCCGTCCACGACAGTTGTGGACGCCTACGACAGCATCTTTGTCGACCAGCTCAACCCCTCGTATGCTGAGGCAATGTGATAGCTCTTCTCGGACCCACAGGGAGAGCGGCCCAGGCGCCGCGCAAGGCGGCGTGTCTGATCGCCGGTGATGGCTAGGTAGTGTGATTAGCGAGTAATAGCTTATGATCACTTTCTGCTAGGGAGGGCTGAGCCAATTGTATAACACTTCTCTCTAGTGTGCCACGTTCGTGGCGCGTCGTTGTAACGTTCACTATTTCTTGGTCTTAATACAAAGATGCGCAATAGAAAAAAATAATTTATTATCATTCAATCTCACAAAACTTGACATATTTGTTATACGAAGTGTAAACAGCCAGTTTTAGTGGCCTGCACAAGGCCAATGCAAGTAGTATAGATTTTGAAACATCTAATTTCAATGTCAATCACAATCAAAGATGAGATGAGGCCTGGAATGTCCACGGTACATCCAATCAAAGATGTGATTAATGGTTCGTCTGTGCTTCTGTGGAGAACGGTGAGCATGCAGAGCCTCGGTCTGCTTCACCTATAGTACCACAGAAGTGCAAGAAAAGAAAATCCGGCAAATCAAGCAAAAAGGTGAAGGTTGCTTCGGTTGGACACAACAATGATGTTTCTGTTGAAGCCTGAATAGGTAGTTAGAATATGCGGCTTTCGCTTACGCGAGCCTCCAATTTTGTAGCTGCTGTTCAGCACTTCAGCTGACACGAATCACTTCAGATGTAGTAAATGCATTCTTTGGCTCTGTTTGGATCCATAGGTTAGAGCTAGTTTGGGCTAGTTGAAGCTCAACTAGCCCTAAAGTAGCTAAACAGGAGGGTTAGAGTGGGTTATTTGCAACTAGCTCACCCTAAAAAACTATCCCCCCAAAGAGGTGATTATTTGGGCTAGTTGAAGCTATTTGAGGTGGGGTCTACTGTTTTCTCTCTACTTTCACCCGCACCAATGATTTGAAAAGCATATTTATTATCATTTTAACCCTTGTATCCAAACATCTCTTAGGCTAAAGTTAGTTCAGGGCTAGTCCTGAGCTAGAAACTAACTCTAACCTCTAGCTGTGCTAGAGTATCAAACAGGGCCTTTGTCGAGTGTTTGATTGCTCTTACAGTGTTTGATTGCTGCAGCTACCACACAGTCCGGGTTGGTTTTCCCTTGTGATTGTTTCCCATGTGTCATGTGTTGGGTGTGATACCGAAGCAGTACCACGCCCAGCAATAACTGCACTTGTAATTGTTGGATCTGCGATCTGGATGTCCGCGAGGCGTTGCACAATTTCATTCATTGTCGCTTGACACTAGGGTTTTTAGGCCGGGTTTAGTTGGTGAATATTTTTGGAAAATGGTACTGTAGCATTTTTGTTATTATTTAACAATTAGTGTCCAATCATAGTCTAATTAGGTTTAAAAAATTCGTCTCGTGAATTTCGTCTAAACTGTGTAATTAGTTTTATTTTTTATTTATATTTAATGCTTCATGCATGCGTCCAAAGATTCGATGTGACGGAGAATCTTAAAAAATTTTACAAAATTTTGGAAACTAAACAGTCACTTAGTGGTTGTACCGAATGCGGCGGCTTTTGAGGTGGGTCATCCGTGTTTCTCGTTGCACTGACATATTTGGGCCTGTTCTCTGGTTGGGGCTGGTGCTGGTTTGGGCTGGCTGGTGTTGGTTTTTTGTGAGAGAAAAACACTGTTGACTGGCTGGTTTAGGCTGACTGAAACCAACAAGCGGACAGGCTGATTAAATGATTTATCAATATTCAGTAAGGACTTTGCTGTGGCCTGTGTTGGTAGTATAATACCGGTAGCTTTCTTATTATTCTTTTCATCTTTTGTATTGGATTATTTTGCTCCTGTATCAGTGTGGGTGCTAATTAGAAATCGCGCTGCCGTGGTTTGCTGTTTGGCTCAGTACAAGCAGTCCATCTTCGTCAGTCGCAATCCACAAAACTTCGTTGCTTCAGCCTTTGGACAGACAGGTGTACGTGGCATTTACAAGGAGAAAGATGCCTGCGAGTCGTTACGTTGAAATTTGGTTTATGCTGAAATGTTGTGAGAGAGTTTCATGCTAAAAACACGGTTAGAAAAAAACACTACTTTTCAGCTATGAAACGGTGTTTTTATCTCGTAACATTTCAGCGTAAGCGAGGCGGAACGGAACATGATGTTAGAAGATGCCATGCACCAATCAGTGGTCGCTGCTTTCTCCTTAACTGCTGAAGCTCACTGACCTCGCCACCTGATGGTTTCCTCCAAAAGCAATCAATACATTGATCCAACCCAAGCATATTGCATATATTCTTTTCGATATGCTCCCAAGCCAATCTCAACTCATGAAAGCAAACACACACCCGGAACGCGTTGTGACGAACTGCAAATACTGCGACTGCGAGTCTATCAGAAACCACCTGCTCTGAAACTCTGAAAGACTGCAATTTTTAAAGCAACGCCTACGCCTCTTTGCCTCGTCGTAAAACCGACCGCAGCCTGCGGAATCGCATTCGCACCCAGCGGGTAAAATTTCAGCGGCCAAAGATTGGTGGTTCACCATGTGATGTGAGAGACACACTGCCCCGGACGGTAAAAAGAACACAAAAATTCGCCTTTCACTGTTGAGATTCCGAGGCTGGTCCACCGTCCACGGTCACGCCACGAGGAGGGATCACGATCAGGCAGGCCACTGGGCACTGGCACAGTGGCACGCCCTACAGAATTCGCTCTCGGTCTCTGTCCAACGGCCGGTGGCAACCTGTCCTGTCGCCAGTCGCCACCCGCCACCCCGCCAGCGGCGTGACAAGCACGGGCGGCCATCCTCGTTTACAGATGAATGAACGAACAAACAGTGCTCTGTTCTAGATGAAACAGACGTCTTTGGTGTCGATTTCACGGTGGTGTGCAGCAGCACGTACACACGCTGTGTTGTGTACCGAAAGCAATACTGGTAGTGGTAGGAAAAAAAATCAGAAAGTGATGTTTTTTTTGGCACCGGACGTTTCTGATGCGCCTTGTTGTCGTTGGTACACAACGGCGTTGGTTCACGTTTCCTGCACGTGGACGCGCGGAAAGGCCGGCAGCCACCGCAGTTAAAAACAGGTGTGGTGGCAGCTTTGCTTGGACAGCATCCCCGATGGTTAAGTTAAGCTCGTCCGTTGCATGGTCATCTCATCGGTAGGCTAATCAAAGAGCTCGATCTGTAGGAAAAGGCCCGTGGGATTAGTTTGACCGTGGTGAATCTGACGGGAACCATGTGCGCGCCACGGCAGTGGTGGAGCGTTGAGTAATCACTCTCCTTCATGTTCTACTACTTAATTACCTGTAAAACTTTGTTCCTTGCGGATCAGATCTCCAACAAACAGTAATAACTGCGGGTTAGGCCCTGTTTAGTTTCCAAATTTTTTTGCATCATACAGTAAAAGAGCATGTTTGGACACATGTATGAAGTACTAAATGTAGATGAAAAAAAACTAATTGCACAGTTCTCGGCAAAATCACGAGACGAATCTTTTAAGACTAATTAGTCCATGAAAAGCCTTAAATGCTACAGTAACACACATGTGCTAATGACCGATTAATTAGTATCATTAGATTCGTCTCGCAGTTTCCTGATGAGTTCTGTAATTTATTTTTTTATTAGTATCCAAAAATCTCTCCCGACATCCTTCCAACACATTCAATGTAACACCCAAAAATTTTCACTCCCCCAACTAAACACACCTTAGTTTCCACCGCTGCGGCGTGCGCCTACCGTGTTGAAATTTTGTGACGGTGTGATGGACGGCGATGAGCCTTTTTCGTCAGTCCTACTCCACCTCCATAGCTGCGTGCGTTGCTTCTCCAGCAGGTGCGTGCAGTACGGGCAGGTACAAATCCAGTGCGCCCTCCCTCCGTCTGTCTCTCGTGATCGCGTTCCGAGTCACTGCTGACTTGCACAAGCGCTAGATCTGCCTGCCATGGCGAATTGGCGAGAGATCCGTTGCCGTTGCAGAAGAATTTCCAACCACCTTTGGTTTTCGTCAAGTTGGAATTCCTAGGTAGGAGTAGTGACAAACACATGTATCCACATGAGATTGAGATCTGCAATCTGTCTATTTTGCATGTTTAATTTGTTGTTTCTATGGTTTCGATCGTCAAGTTGTCTGAAATCTGTAAGCGTTCGACACCAAACGGGAGCACAGTCCTGCTCTCGCTGAGCTCCTCCGATCTACAGCGATCGTGCTGCACATGCACAAATGGGGGGAGTTCGTTGTTTTCTCTCGACTGAACACGGCAGTGGCAGTTAGCGGTTAGTGGGGAGGTGGTGGTGGGTACTGTACTGCATGCCTACAGTCAGGGTACCTGCGCCTTGTTTAGATCCTATCAAAATTTCAAGTTTTTTCACTCTTTTTTCATTACATCAATTTTTAGACACATGCATGGAGCATTAAATGTAGGTAAAAAAATAATTAATTGCACAGTTTGGTTGTAAATCACGAGACGAATCTTTTAAGCCTAGTTAGTCTATGATCGGATAAAGTTTGTCAAATACAAACAAAACGTGCTACAGTATCCGGATTACAAAAATTTACGATCTAAACGAGGCCCTGTAAACGAACAACACATGGCAAGGCCGGCGGGTCAAACGGTGAGACCTACGGACGGAGGGAGTATCTCATATGTGATGTGGTCAGTCTGCTCATCATTTCCCCCAAACAAATTCATCGCCGGGAATTCGCAAGGTATCCTCAAAACCTGGCGGTTCAATTTGTAGCTGTGGCTGCGAGTTGTCACAAGGCTGCGGTTTATATTTATTTATTTATGTAAACAAAACATCACGTGGTGCAGCGCGCGCTGCTGCTGTCGACGAAACAGGAGCACGAGGAGCCACGTCGTGGTGTGCCCAAGCGGCAATCACAGTCACAGCGGGCGGGGCGGGTCCCAACGGACGACACCGATGGATGGAAAATATCGGAAGCCAAAGCGGCAAAGCCCCCCAAACCAACGAGACAAGCAAAAGAGCATTTTTAAACGGGAGCACAGCTATATATTTCGATTTCTCAAAAAAAGGCTATATATTTCGAAAATGGGCGGAGGGCGGAGGCTACGTCCAAGCAACGCAACGGTCCATTTGTATTCAACTCAGCTGGCTAAAAAGTGAGATAAAACCGACGTGCTTTCTGTTTCCTACTAAGCGATGTCACATCAGCAACATTTCATCCATGGGCCTGTTCGCTAGTTGGTGCTGGTACTGATTTGGGCTGGCTGATGCTGGTTTTTTTGAGAAGAAAACACTGTTGGTTAGTTGATTTAGGCTGGTTGAAACAACAAGCGAACAGGCTGCATGTCTGGGTGTCTGCGCCGAAACAAAACGACACCGTCCGTAAACAAACCCACACACACGATTTTTTTTTAATGAAGTTTATTTTTTATGAACTGGCTGCAGTTTTGCTAAAAACAAGCAAGCAAGATAAACAGGAGCAAGCAACCATATCAAATGGGCCGAGAACTGAAAGTTGCCAAAACGCCACAGACCGAACAAAACCTGGCCAAAAAGCATGTTTATCTTGACACCAACGCCAAGCCAAGCAAGAAACACGAAGACGGGCAGAAAATTGTTCAGGCAAAGGCAATCAGCTAAATAAACAGGAGATAGAGAGAATATTCTATTCCAGCTCTCTCTCTCTCTCTCTCTCTCTCTCTCTGCGCGCGCGCTGATCTCCTCCCTCCCTTCGTCCCTCCCGTATTAAACTCGGCCAAGAAAAGCAAAGGCAGGGAGGAGAAAGGCAAGGGAAGTGGAAGGTAGGGGAGAGAGAGAGGGAGCCAGGGAAAGCTCTCTTTCTTCTTCCTCTTCCTCCTCCTCTCGAATTCTGTCTCTTGTCTCTCTGTCCTCCTCGCCCGGTTCCCCCGGTTTTTGAGAGGGGAAAAAGAGGAGGCGGAGGAGAGGAGGGATGGGGCGGGACGAGAGGTTCCCGGTGTGGGAGGCCGCGCTCGGCGCCGGGGTCGCCGCCGCCTTCGCCGCTGGGCTCGTCGGGGTCTACCTTTCCATGCCGGACTCCGACTACAGCTTCCTCAAGTTGCCACGTAATCTCGAGGAACTCCAAATCCTCACGTATGTTTCCTTTCTCCTGCCCCCCCTAATAAGAAGCTCTTCGTTTCTCTTGTTCCGGTTGGTGAATTGGTGCCTTGTCAGTTCTGTTCACGAAAGCTTCAGCCTTTTTCTTCTTCTTTTTCTGTGATGTGATGCCAAGATTCCCTCCCTATGATTATTAGTTGATCTCTGCACGCAAATTGTCTATATGCTCTAAATGGAGTAGTTTCCAAGACACAAATCGATTTCATTTCTTTTTTCTTCCTGTACGTATAAGGCAAATCTGTGTTGGTGGATCGATTGATGAATAATGTGCACGACAAGCGTTTCATTCTTTGTCTGCGATTTCAATGCCAAATGACACTGGCGTTTGTCGCAATGAAACAGTTGATTGGTAGTGGTGTCAGCTTTGCAAGGAATTAGTTGGCGGTTATCTCGTGATCCGGAATGGATCTCAACGTTCGTTTGGTGGGAATTCTGAAAGACGTATAGCATGGATCTGGTGAAATTTGCTGCCCCTTGTGTTAATTCGAAATTACAGACGGATGATTTGTTTGTGTTCTGGACCATTATGAGTTTCCCTTCAAATTGGGAAGATTAGAAGATTAGATTTCTCAAAAGTAAGACCGGTGCCATCTTCAAGTACTGCTTGCTTAGTGTGTTTGTGCTGTTAGTTGAACCATGATTTTAGATCTGATGGCAACCGATCAACTTGAATTACATCCTGGTGTTCCAATTCAAATCTACATTTCTCTGGGTAAAGTTTTTAAAAGGGTAACTTAATCATGTCACTTTATTTTTCCTAATAATTACCATGTCACTTTCGTGCCAGCCACAATTGCCATATGCTTTTGGACTTGGTCGAAGCGTGTTCCATATGCCTTGAGCCGATAATCACACAGGATCTGATCTGTCTACACACGTCAGCTATTTGTTTCCCATACTAATGGTTTGCCGTTTGAACATGGCCTTCTCGTTTCTTGATATACTACCGAATTGGACATGCCCTTTGTTTTTTTATATTGCCGAAATGAAAGTTCAGATGTGTGTACAGTACTTAGTAATTGCTAGTACCACTGAAATGGAAATTTCCTTTGTTTTCTAACCACTAGTTTGTTTCTTTGCAGTGGCCATCTTGAGAACTATACTAGTGATTACACCCTACAGGTGTTAGTAGGTTATTGCGTTGTGTACATCTTCATGCAGACCTTCATGATCCCAGGGACAATATTCATGTCTCTGCTTGCTGGTGCTCTATTTGGGCAACTCCGGGGCTTGGCCCTGGTGGTCTTTGCTGCCACTGCTGGTGCTTCTTCATGCTATTTCCTGTCGAAGATGATTGGGAAGCCACTGGTGTTCACACTGTGGCCAGATAAGCTCAGTTTCTTCCAGAGACAGGTATCTAAAGACCAAAATCACCAAATGTAGTTTTGTTTCTAAAGTCTGTGTATCAGGCTTAAATTGTTTATTCTGAATTGCTCTCACGCTTGAGTCAGGCTATTTGATTTAAGTCCCTCGTCTATGTATCTCATAACTGAGAGGTAAATTGTCTTTCATTTCAGGTTGCTAAAAGAAGAGAGAAGCTGTTGAATTACATGCTTTTCCTCAGGGTGACCCCAACATTGCCAAATACCTTCATCAACTTAGCTTCACCCATAGTAGATGTCCCCTACCATACATTCTTACTGGGAACTCTCATTGGTCTTATCCCAGCTGCTTATGTGACTGTCAGGGTAAGTTCTATTGTCAGATATCATGCTTGTTTACCTGTTGCCATCTAGTGTCCCCTTTTGTGCTAATATCAGTTCTGCTATCCCCCCCTACTGTCACGCATTCAGGCTGGAATTGCTCTCGGAGAGTTAACTTCGCTGAGTGACCTTTACGACACCCAGTCGATAGCACTGCTATTCCTGATCGGTGTTGTTTCAGTCACACCAGCATTGTTGGGCAAGGACAAGGCACAAGAAAAACCATCAGAAATGGCGGTAGGCACGTCATGATCACCAAAGCACCGAGAGTTGTCCACCTCACCTGTATATATCAACATCCAGCATGCAGTGGCTTCATTAGTTCGGATCGACAGGCCCTTGTGGCTGGATGACAAAAATGGTTCGCATGGCTGCACAGCTTGGCAGGACCTCGGCCTAAACTCCGTCCACTGCCGGCCTACGCCCTACAGAGGCACCTGTGTTGCCATCATCAGAACATGATCCGGTGGCCATTCACCACATTATGAATGAATGAATGAACCTGGGAAGCAGAATGCCCGTTAGACAAGCTGCTCTGATGTGTAAACGAGTAATGCTGTTCGGATAGGACAGGCATTTAGTCCAATCCCTGTATATATATTGACCAGATTCATTCAATCCATATTCAGTGGTTCAAAGATAATGCCCTGTCCGGCTGATGTGTTCCTGAATGTCTTGCTCCATTTCTAGTTTCCCTTCTGTGCCTGATTGACTATGGCCTACTGGTTCTGTTGTAAATGCCTTGTCCGCATCACTTTGGCATTTGGCAAGTGATGATGCCTTCCTTCCCTGTCGGTAGGAAACAGTAGAGCTTGTTTCCTCCTTTTCCATGCCAAGTGATGCGGTCGTCAAATGGGCAACTTGCAAAAGGAAACAGTAGAGCTTGTTTATGATGATCGGGCGTTTATTTTTGTTTGGTGAGCATGAAGGGAGAGGCACTAGCCGACGTACAGTTTTTAAACAAAACTGGTTCGTATTTTTTTAATCACACTACACAGTACACACGCTGCATGCGTGTACATACACTTATCACGATGAACACACTACTAAAAGAATAACGTCGTTAAATTCTAAAATATTTTTTCACCATCAGTATAAACAGCTGATCCTGCGCTCAGTTTGCTAGTTCCGATGATCTTGCAATAGTGTCTCTACTTTTTTAGATAGAATGCTTCATTTTTCTAGTGAAGTTTTTTAAGCTAAAGTTTTTATTTGAAACGGACCAATTTTCTCGTGAAACCGAGAATTTTTTAAAGCTAGAACATTTGAATGTTGAATTGAAACGTTGTGTCATTAAAGGAAAGAAATGTTGATAGCCACTGTTAGCTGGGCCAACGTGTCGTGCAATTCGTCTTTGGGATTCACCCACCCCAAGTGCTAACTACTGTTGGGCCTTTTCTGCTAAAAAAAAACTACTGTTGGGCCTTTGGCAACACGTACCAGTCAAGCGAATCGTCACGGGCTGATGACGCTACATGGGCTACCCCGCAGCCGCACTGTTGGCCTGTTGGGCTACCCAAGTTGAACTGGGATCGTCCCCATCTCCGCCGCTGCGGCGAGCAGGCAGCGACCGCCGCTGCCAAACACGGCCAGGCCGGGGAGCGGTGGAGGGCAGTGGAGCACCGGCGCACCGCATATGCTCGGGGTTCTTCGCCGCGCAGGCCTCGCCGCAGCGTCAATGCCGGCGGCGGGCCTCCGACAGGTGCGTCCGATTCCACTCTTCAGGGCGCGTGCTGCTGCTTGCCACTCACTGCATTCCTTCCGCGACCGGCACTGATATCGGCTGTGGTTTGCCGTCCTACATCCTGAGGATCCAGAAGCGTGTAGCTCTGATACTGAATTTATTATTAGGGAGAGGGAGGTGTTGTTCAGTGTTAACGACTCGAATAGATGGCCGTAGTTTAGAGTGCTGCACTTTCAGGTGGCGCGCGGTTGGATTGTCTAAGAGCTGGTTACGAGTATCGGTGAAATAAACGAGGTTTCCGTGTAAACAGCACAATCACCTGAAAGTTTTGTCAGGCTTCAAACAGAGTATCTGTGACTATGACTGTCTGCTCGTTGTGATTGTGCTCTGTTTGAAGCCTGACAAAACTTTTGGTTTCTGAATTTTGCAGTTTCAGTGTGCTTACCATAGAAGCAATGAGAGATTATCACCTATCCACCAAGGTAAGTGTGGTCAATGGCCATACTATACTCTTCCTAGTTGCTTCTTGATCTAATGTCTTTGTTTAGGCCTATGAGCTTCTCATAGACTCATACCTAAGTATGTGTCTCCCAAACAACAAACTATGGTATGCACCCTAAACTTTCTTGCTTGAGGAATGCCTATGTCACTTACTGCTTCTTATGTCAAGCTTGATATTTCATTTTATTCTATTTGGCCAGTCATTTCAAAATATCTGCAAAATTCTGATCTACCCTTTGTTGCACAGAGAAGACCCAGAAGTTTCATATGGTCTTAAGTGGGCTATTGCTGGGAAAGGTGTCATTGTGAAAGATAAGGTCTTCCATAACTTGGAAACATCGGAGCTTCAGAAAGGAGGTGCTACTTACCCAGGTATGTGCAAATTGTTGTTGTCCTGTACTTATGTGTATGTACAACTGATATATGACATGTAACTCTGTGACTGCATCTGGAACATGCAGACTGTTTGTCTGGTATTCCACTTCATGTTAGAGGAGATGTCATTGGTGGTGTCCCTGGTGTTTCTAAAGCTCAATTTGCAAAGCTTCTAAAACTGGTAGGTTCTAAGGGCACCCGCAATGGCTAACTCATAAGCTAGCTCTAAGCATTTTTTTTTTCATATTTTAATAGAAGACAGAAAAACTAGCTCTTGATCAAGAGCTAGGCTCATACACATATTCCAAGATCATGTGAGAGTGTCATGTGGGCCTAATCATACTATGAGCCATTGCTAAAAGCTAGCACTATTTGAGAGGTTGGTTTAGAGCTAGTAACTAGTTTATACCATTGCGGGTGCCCTAAGTCTTGGCTTCATCCCTCAATGGGATGGTATTCAATGATGATTATCATGAATGGAGATGAAGTACTGTTAGTCTCTTTTTTAGCATCCAAAATTTTTTACTCTTCTTAATTTATAGTCATGAAGGGCGGGCCTGGTGCAAGCGGTAGAGTCTTACTGCCTGTGACCGGAAGGTCCCGGGTTCGAGTCGCGGTCTCCTCGCATTGCACAGGCGAGGGGAAGGCTTGCCACTAACACCCTTCCCCAGACCCCGCACAGAGCGGGAGCTCTCTGCACTGGGTACGCCCCCTTTTTTTTTAATTTATAGTCATATCATCTCCCTGTTTGTTGACAGACTGCTTGCTTGTATAGGTGACGTTTCATCTTTCATCCATCTCGTGTCTATATGTTCAAGATGGCGCCGTTGGTTCCTCAGCAGAATGTGATGCAAAGGTTCGAGTCATTAGTGATAATCCCTCTGCTGTTATGTTACTGTCCAATGTCCTTTGGAAAATATCGGATCGTGCGATTTCCCATGACACATCCCCTTTGACTATATATGCTACCAGTTCAATAAGGTACATTACCTTTTTCATTCTTTTACATATGATTTTAACTTGTTCATTGACTTCATTCATTCAAGTAATATCTTTTCCAACAAGAACTGAAGTCTGTAGTTGGCTACAGTGTAAGGCTAATTAATATGTTATATTCTTCTTGATTGTGAATGTTTGAAGCAGTAACAATGTTAAGACTGTTCTTGGTTCTGGAACACAATATGCTAATGGATTTGCAGCAGTGGATATTGAACGGTCATCTCTAATCCTATGCGGTAAAGCATTCGCTGATTCAGCTATTGTGAAAGATGCACTTACTGCTATGACAGCCCCGATATTGTCTGCAAGAGGAGGCCTCCCGGTTCCAGGCTGGTAAAGTCAGCTTATTACTCTTCATTTATTCTGTTTCTATGAAGTTCTTATTTTCCTTCCATATTGTGTATTTCAGGCTTATGTGCTTTGGTGGTTCTATTGTATTATTGTTTGCTCCGGTGGAAATCATGATGTCCTGCTTAGAAATCCACAATGCTCTATTGTCCACTGACTGTGGTGCAGTCATCTCTTCTAAAGGGTCTACTGTGCTTTTCCCAACAAAGGCAAGAAGGGAGCCAAAATTGTTTGCCAAACCAACTGCCGTAATTATTGTGTCATCTGATAGGTAATGAAGAGTCCATGCTTTGGTGACATGATTTGTCTTGTCTAAAACATGCAGTATGTGGAGTGTTACAACAGTTCTTTTGCTAAACAGGAACATTAATGTCTCTTGTATTATGATAGTTAAAATGAAAAAAGATTTATAGTTGTGACAAGAAAGAATAGGACTAAGTTTGCTAACAATGTATTGGTCTTTTTTAATTTCAGCACTGGTGCCATACCATCTGTATCGAAGCTCTCTCCTGGCCAGGCTGCTTACCATTTCTTGGCTGGATACCACGATGGAAAATTTGTCCCAGCATACAGCAGAGCCCCCTCTCCTGCTGACCCCCTTGCACTTGCAAGTTCCTTATTCTCACATGTAGGTGGCTCTATTTCTTTGTTTTTTCTCTCTGGTTATTTAGTAACTGGTGTTAGCTCTCTACCTTTTGCCCATTACTGTCTTTCTGGTATTGGCTCTAAAGATTGATGTGCTGCCTTTGCAGTTGAAAGAAGATGATACACCAGCATATCTGATCAATGCTAAGCACTCTGGAAAGTACATTGATGGTAATATAACATCACATTCCTTTCTTGTATTGTTCACTTTGCCTTCCTGGAATGGACACTAAGATGACAAATATTGTGTGACAGACAATGGGTTTATGAAATTATTAAAGCTGGCACTATCTCACAATGTGCCTGACATCAAAACTAAAGACTTTAGAGGTATAAATAGTTCTTGACGCCCTACATACTCAATATCTTGGTAAGTGATATCCATAAAGTGCAGTCCAATTTTAACCGACAGAAATACATCTTTGGTTGCAGTTGGGGAACTCAAGGGGAAGTACAGGAACTTTCTATCCAGCAAGTTTGGCAAATGTTTACTCGAGGAATTCTCTTTCTAGGAGATATACTCTGAGGTTGCAGTGGACATGTATCTTTACTGACATAGTCACATAGGTTTACATTTTGAGTTAAGAAGTGTTAGGAATCCCATTCTATCTCAATTAAAAAATAATACTCTGTTACCTTACATCTTTCCCCATCCTGGTGCGTGGGTACTGACGCAATGTAGCTAGTACCTTCATGCATGAATTGGCTTGTGCAGTTGTGCACTTCCATTTCAGTCAATTTTGTTAAGCAGCAGAAAGTTGAAAACTTTCAGTATATTCATGTCACGTGTGACTTTGTGAGCTGCAGAGATCAGACTGTACTATTATGTAGAATCGGTAACAACCAAAAGGTCCAAAAACTGCTCTCCATCATGGTGCTGTGTTCCTGGCAACACTTTACCGGACACCGTTGCCTCTTTACCATTACTACTGCTGGGGCACCAGAGTGCAGAGTGCAGAGTGCAGAATGCAGTGAACTGTGAAACATTGGAGGACACGATACAAAAAGGCGTCAACCGTCGACATTGAGAAATTGAATCCTACCGTTTCATTTCACGCGGGAGCTGCCAGAGCTTCACATGGTTTCACTGAGAAGAGTAGAAGAATGGTGCGGTGGTCCCTCTGCACCATGGTCCTTGCTTCACCTGTTCATACTGGCATTACTGGTATCGATATCCATCCCATCTTAACTCACATATTTTGGCATGCATTCCTGAAAGTTTCAACTGATAAGGCGGTGAGCAGCGGAAGTTGCTCATCTGAACTTTTGGTGTTGCTTATGGGCTCATTTATTCAGGCACATCACTCCAGGTCCTTGTGAGCCAACTGAATAATTTGGAAACAGCATACACCTTATAATGTACAGCCTGTTTGTTTCGGCTGGATTGGCTTATAAGCCATGGCTGAAAGTACTGCTGGCTGGTTTGATGTGAGAGAAAAATACTGTTCAAGCCATAGATTACAAGCCAGATACGAGCAATCCAGCCGAAACGAACAGGCTAATAGGAGTAGCACCTTATATTAACTTTAGGGGAGTGGGGGCAATTGCCAAAGGGGGAAAAAAATAAAAGGGTACCCGGAGCAAATCGATTATTGAAGGCCAACAGCCTCATCAAGAACCCTACTAGCTCTAACATGTTTAACAGGCCTTTTCCGTCCAATAACGCACCATGACCCGTTGCTATCATCACTCTGTAATGTCAGCTCAGGAACATGGGGACCGTCACTTCTGCTCATACAGGTTATTTGATTTTTTAGCTGTACTCCCTTAGTCCACAAAAGAATGCAATTCTCGTTTTTCGAGAAGTCAAATAGCTTACTTTGACTAGAATTATATAACAAAGTACTAACATTCATAATACAAAAGAAATACCATTAGATTAGTAATAAAATATATTTTTATAATAAATTTATTTGGAGACATAAATACTAATCATACTTACTATAAATTTGGGTCAAAGTTGAGCTAGTTTGACCGACACGAAACCTATAATTGCATTCTTTTGTGGACCAAGGTAGTATGACTGATTAGAAAATCTCTGTTTCACAAACAGCAACATTTACAAAGCATATAATGAACAATTACAAGAGCTGGCATACGAATGATCACCAATCAAACATACAACAATGTAAGGCATGAACTCAGCGGATGCAATTATGTAAATACAGTCGACATTATGTATTCTTTGAAGCATCCATTGAAGCATCCATCATTTGATTTACCATAACATGGGGGAAGACTCAGGAACTAGATGACTAGTCAAAGAAATATGTCACAAAGGATAGAACAAAGAATACCATCAGATGGTTTTATGCTAATTTTCGCTTTTCTTCTTCAGCAAACCACCGAATCTCTTCAGCAAAGGCTTCTTCTTATGCTGCTGGTGCTGTTTAGTTGGTGATGTCCTGCCACTGTTATCCTTAGTTGAGTGCAACCCATTGCTGTCAAGACCTGCATCCCCCTTGTTTGATTCCAAATCAACCTGTGAGTCACCATCATTCTCCTTCTCCTTAGATGAATCATAGTCAGCAAACTTGCTGTTCTCCCACATTTTGGAAACTACCACAACAGGTTCATCCTCATCTTCAGTGTCCTTCTCATTATCTCCTTCCTTGGCGTTACCATTTGTCGTGCCATCTTTTGTATTTGCAAGCTGGGAGGAGAGTTCCTTAATCTTCTGAGAAGCAGCTGATTCCTTTGCCTGCAGGTCGTCATTTTCCTGTTTTATGTTCTGCAATTCATTCTCTTGGTCCAATACCTTCTCCTTCCATTGGATAGTTTCGGCGTTGGCTTGCTCCCTGATTCTGTTAGCTTCCATCAGCTGAGACTCAAGCTGCTGCAGCTTCTCCTGCAACTCAGTGTTTTCATTTTCTTTCTCCTTAACAACCTCCAAGGTCCTGTCCATCTGAACTCTGATAGCACCTATCTCTTCTTCTGAATTCTTAATAGAGTTGACAAAACTTAGCTCTTTGGACTGCCATTCCTCATGCGCACCCTTAGCTTCAGATTCTAGCCTTTCAACTGATTTCGTAAGGCAAACCTTCTCATAGTTTGCTTCATCAAGCATTAGCTCATAGTTCTCCTTAGTATTCTTCAGACTCAAGCTAAGCTCCTCTACCTGTGCCTGAGCACGCTCAATCTCATCTTGTTTGAGAAGGTACTTCTCTTGTGCCTCTCTGGATTCAGCTGACATTTCCTGTAAGGCTGAGGCCAGACCCTCCATTGCCTTCTTGACTTTCTCAAGCTCATCTTTGGTAGCTTCAAGCTCGTCAGCCAGCTGGTTCTTCTGTTCATTCAAGGTCTTTATTTCTGAGCTAGCATATTTATCACTGTTCAGAGCCTCAATTTTCTCTTCTTCTGCTGTACGGAGCTTCAACCTAAGCCCTTCAACCTCTGTCCATAGATCCGCCGCCTCTTTCTCTGCAGCATTGGTCCGTTGGCCCGAAACATCAATATCACTCTTGAGCTTTGCCAGCTCATCTTCCAAGAACCTGACTTTGTCCCGAAGAGCAGCAACTTCAGATTCTCTATCACGAAGCAAACTACTTGTTGAATCCAATTCTTCCATTGCTGAATTCAAAGACTCACCCTTCAAAATATTAGACTGATCAGCCTCTTCCAACCTGGCCTCGAGCAGCTCTGCCTTCTTCTGCCATTCATCAGCTAACTGCTCTGACTTGGAACCAGACTTCCTAGCATCATCAGCATCACTCTTAAGTTCATTAACCATGCGCTCCAATTGAATTGCCTTCTCTTCAGCAGCCTTTGCTTTCTCAAGCTTGAGCTTTAATGCAGAGTTCTCTGCTTCAAGATTCTGAATCCTCTCTGCAGTCTTCTTCCCTCTGCCATCCAGCTTGGAATCAACCAGCTCTTTCAGGCGCTTAACCTCTGCAGTGAGGAGCTTAACTTCCAGAGCCTTCACCTCAGAAGCCCTAACGGCCTCATCTACCTGGCTCAGAGCTTCGTTCTTTGCATCGAGTGCGTCGGCC